AGAGAGAGAGAGAGAGAGAGTAGACAGATAGACAGACAGACAGACAAAGAACGGTTTGCATCTCTCAAGTCCAGTGGGGCATACACCAGTAGAGCAGTGAGCCCAGCTGGGTGTATCCCAAACAAAGTTTTCAACCTGTGAAACACATTGTCGAAACGGAAAACCTGTTTTAAATATTGGTGCGGCTAGGCTATAAAACTATGATAAAACTGCTGTTAAACTTCCCATATATAATGTTCAGGCTGTTTATGCGAACGCTGAGTGTAAGAAAGAAAAAATATTTGGGTTTGATTTTCCTCGTTTTCAAGGTCCTCGAAACAGGAAGTGCGAATGAGGAATCAGGGGGAGGTAATGCTGTAGGAGCTGTTTGAAAAAAACAAATTAAAAAACAACGCTCGTTAACGATCAGTAATGATAAAACATGCTTGATTCTTTAACAACAAAGAACCCCCCCCCCACCCCTTTTTAAAAAAACAACAACAAACACAGAGTAACAATCCTTATTCAAACAAACAAAAGCAGAGCAAATTACACGAAGGTACAAAACGTTGATTTTGCTTCATTTATTGGAAAATATGTGTTATGTCTACGTGTAGAGAAAACCAGAGATGTTGTGGTTACAGAAACAGCGTTGCACCAACAATTAAATATTAACACAGAAATTCTCTTTGATGTTCCAATACCGGTATTAGAATATTTCCTAACTCACGTTCGCTTAGTCCATGCATGTCTGATATGGATAAGATCATTAAATAGCACTCAACTCAGAAAAGGGACAAGCCCCTCCCCCCTTTCTCCCAAGGAAAAAACAACAACAACGACACACACCAAAACGACAAAACAAAACAAAACAACATCAATCAAAACGCCACTGCACCAGCATATTCCACAGGCCTTGAAAAACAAGCAACAAACACATCGATGATATAGACAAACTATATTAATATACTGTACGAGTAACAAAAACTAAATACGCGTATTTCTGTTCAAAGAGAAACAATCACGCAAACAAGCAATAAACAAACATGTCGCTTTTCAGTTTACAAGAAAACATGCTATACTGTGGCGCAAACAGTCTGCCACAAAACCACAGACATAAAATTAAAAATCACGAAATGCTCGACGTGATCAGGTTAAAAACAAAAATCAATCCATTACAGTTCCAGAACATGTACCCGATCCACAAATACAAGCAATATACGTCGACAGCGCCGTTATATCGCATTAAGGAAACGATAGAGTTTTAATTTAGCGAACGTGTGTTAGTTATAAGTTCTTTCAAGTAGAACAGATGGACACGTTTGCATGCGGGCAAAAGATTAGCTTGTTCGTTTTAAGAAAGAGAACTGCATAGATGAGATATTGGGCATTTTGAGTGAGTGAGTGAGAAAGTGTGTGTGTGTGGGGGGGTGTGTGTGTGAGTGTGTGTGTGTGTGTGTGTGTGTGAG